GTAAAAACGCATTCGACAGGGGATTTCCTTTCTCTCTTCCGTCCCCTGGCTCAGTGGCAAGATTGGGGTTGCAGGATCCACATGTCCCTAACAGCACCCGTAGCTGGGAATTTTCACTTGGGCAGCAGTTTGGATTATGAACACTGACCGAAACCTTTTTCCGTGGCTCCTCCGTAGCACTTTTGTTGACACTACCTACAGATCTCCACTCCTGTGTTCTCTCACAGCCCACCAGGGCCCCCCTCAATAGACAATGAAGGGGCCTGGCTGCTTCCAGGTCAATTTGACTGATACCTGTAAAAACACGCCACCTATCCGGTTGTACACCTTCTCATGTTTGATCCAGGCGCAAATATCTTCCCTATTCTTTTCCGCTGGGCTCTCCTCTCTTGTACCAGGCGCTGATATGCTTGCCTCAGCATGGGATGTACAGAAGTGGGTTGATCATTGGCTCTTTTCGACCAATGGTGCCAGCAGCCTTCTGACAAGATTGGTGTTGGTCCCTATGATTAGGGGACTCCCATTGGCCCCAGCGGCCGGGACAGATGAACGGCTAAGGCTTCTGAAAGTCTCAGCCTTCCCTGTCCATGGAAGGATCAAAAGATAGTCTGACCGATAGGTAACCATCAATAGGGAAACTTCTGGGTTCCTATGCCCCATATTTCCAGATCTTCCAGCTTCTGCCAAGGGCAAATGCTTCAGATGCTTGTCATAGGAAGTCTCGGTACAGAAGGGTTACTTGGCTCCGGTGTCCAGAAAGAGCCCTGGTATAAATCCCTTCTACCTGAATTGGGACGACAGGGGAGGGTCCCACTAAATTCTCAGGGAGTGGTGAACAGTAACCGTCTTCTTCTGTTCTGCAGTGTTCTTATCCTTACTCTCCTCCTGGGGGAGTTTTGGCTCGGCCTAAGCCGTGGTTGACTCCCAGGTTTGAGGTGTGCACTGACTCCCTGAGGTGAAGTGGCATTTTTCCCTAGCTGTTTGGTAAGGGATGGTGGGGTTCATTCTGGATACGAGGCCAGATTTTCTCCTCACCCCCCCTTTTACTTGGTTGAGTGGAGCTAGCTGCGGTGGTGGGTCCCTGGGTTGCTCCTTCACCAGGGCCCTCTGAAAGTTTTCCGCCGGTTTTTTGGCGCTTAGAATTCAGCTTCCTGGGCTTCGGACAGACTCTCCTGACATGTCCGGACTCCCTCCACAATTAAAGCAGGTCATTTGAATGGTGGGACTAGTTGCTTGCGTTGGGGCAACTCCTGACAGGTTTTCAGAAACTGCTCTCCGTCTCTCTCGCTAAACCGACGGTCCCCCCTCCATTAGTAAAGGTCACCATCTCCATTAGTTGGGACATACAACCTGAGTCTTAATGAGTTTCAACTTCAGGGGTGTCACCTCCCACATTGACTACCCGGTACCCCTACAACAGAGTCCTGACTGTTCTCTCTTTGTGTCATCCAAAATGGCTTCCTCCTCTCTCACAGTCCAGATCAAGTCTGGATAGTTCAGGAGGCCACCATCTCGCCGAGTTCGTAATAGAATGGCAATGGGTCTAGGGGCCTGGCTCCCCGTAGGACTTGTGCGTCCGAACCTCATCAACTACTCTTTTCAGGCCTAATTCCCCTTTTTAGCAGAATTTGGTATATTATCTTGTCTAGAACGTCCCATGTAACTGGAAGTTTCTCCCCTTCCCATTTTTGGTAGTATGCTCTATGCTGATTAGATGAGGTCTGAAGCCTTTTCAGTACGCCCAAATACATCTTGTAAAATATCTAGATAGCCCTGAGCAGTGCAATCCTGTTTGCTAAGTTTTAGGTTGCGAAGGCCTCCAATGCAGTGGCCCCTTAGGCTTTCCGTAATCCTCTGTTTCTTGTGGGCCTCAGGAATGTGCCATTCACTAGTGCTTGCATGGCTTGGTCTAGCCACTCTTCAAAGCCATCCTCCCCGGTAGGTATTGGTTGCCTACCCGAGAAGAATCGGCTTCCGATACAATCCCGTGTATGGAGAGGGGTCTTTAACGGCATTTTTAACATGAAGTCCCCCAATGCAGTGAGGAATTCCGGGCCTATGGTGGCTAGAGGTGTCTGGGACAGGGGTTCTTCCCTCTCAGGTCTTGCACAACTAGGCCCGGGGGTGTTCAACTGAAGTAACTGGAGCCTTGTCCCATCCTCTATCTGGATATTGGCTCCTTGGAAACTGTCAGGGATCCCCTTCTTCCCACTCTAGCAGGGCATATGCCAGGGTGGTGTCTGAGGCGGGTATCACATCTATCACCCATGTTTTCTTTCCCTCTGTGGGTAGTGCATTCACTATCTTGGTAATCTGTTCTTCGGTCCCCATTTCTCTGGGGAACTCGACCACTACACTCCATTTCTGGGCAAGCATTTTCCCTGCTGCACCACTTTGTCGCGGCTGCGATGTCCATCTTAGGAGTTGGTATACGGGGCACTGCTTGAGTGGTTGTTGGGTAATTGAGCAGCAAGAATCCCGGACGAGCCCCCACGTGTAGCACTGCCCCTTGGGACAAGCTGGAATATATTATGGGTCCTGCGCTCAATAGATCCAACCCTAAGCAAACTCAATCCCTCTGGCACAACTGGTAATGAATAGCAAATACCCCGCCAAGAAATTTTCTGACACAGGGTTTAAATGAAACAAGAACAATTTTATGGAGAATGAAATGCAGTGTAGAGGGGTGGGGTTCCCCTTTCAACTTCAAAGCTTACTTTTTTCTTTTATGCAATGCAGTAAATTTGGTCTGCCACTAGAGGGCTTCACAGCCAAGAGTCTCCGGATGGCAGAGTCGCACTTTAAGCAGAATTCAACTGATATCAATCAAATAAACTTACTTATACTCTATCAATGAAACGTATTACCCACACCGGTGTATGATTCTGCTTCTGAGGGGCGTTAGCCAAAAATCACCTCAGAGTCAGAACAGAATGCAATAAAGAGGTACCTCTAATAAAGCTACTAAGCCAGATTCCCCCACTTCAGTCCTTGTAACGGTGGAGCTCTAGTTGGTGCACGTTTAGGTCCTTACAATGAAGTAAATAGCAGCTGAAGGCTTCTTTGGAGTTTCAGCTGGTGTGGGTTACATCAGATTTCACTAGGTTTCTGGGCTGAGAGAATCCAATCTCAGTGTCTAGAGCAACACAAAGCACCCCAAGAACCAGGGGCAGTCGCAGGATGCAATCTCCCAGTATGTGTCCAGTCCCCGGGGCCGACAGTCTCAATTACACTGGTGGTGAGGGGCAAAGCAGGCAGGGGGATCTGTGGCTTGCACAGGGCCCCGGATGGGTGAGATCCCACAGCAGTGGGGTGCGGATGTCCCAGTCTATATGCAAAGTGTAAATGGTGTGTCTTACTCTCTCCAGGGGGACAGCTCACCAGACTCTGAACACACAGCAGGGTCCCTCTATCCGCGCTGGGTGCTAGTAGTGCCTCCTCCTCTGCTTGGATGGGCTCCACATGTCCCTGTCTTTTCTCCAGCCTCGTGTCTCTCTCTTCTCCCCTTCACTTCCTGCTTCCCCCCCCTCCCAGCGTTCTTTGCTGTGTAGTGGATGAGTCATGAACTTGGCAGAATGCCCAGGTTTTACAAAATAGGAGAGAGAGAGAAAGACTGACTGCTGAACATGTGATTCCTTCTGAATCCTCTTGTACAAGGAGCCTGCTACACCTAACATCCATTTGAACCCCTCAAACTCTGCTCTCGCTCCACTTCCTTCCATTTGATAGTATTTGTTCCCATTCAAACAACCATCACTGTTACACGGGGAAAAGGAGAAAGTTCTAAGCTTTCTTTAAGTTGCATTTTACTGTTTAAACAGTGCTTCTATACTTTGCTTAGTCATGGACAAATCAGAAGTTCACTTTAAGCTCAATATACTAAGCTACAGCGATATTTAGTTGCCATTTTTAGCTTTACAGCAGAGTTCCACCCGAATATTAAAGTTTATCCCCAATGTCTTTGTTCCTGCTGCTCCATCAATGTTTGGCACTTTCTTTTTCTTAACATTTTCATACCTTAATTTCTCCGTAAGTGCTTTACTTCCTATGTCCCTCGCCATGGCAAGGTACATCATAGCCGCCCGCCCGTTGGTTTCCCCAGGATATACGTGCCATCAATCCCAGGAATCAATGGGCATCCCCCTCCTCTAGCATCGCGATATTTCCAAACACCAGGCGGAGGTAAGTTCCATTTTTAAATAGGGAAATCTATCCATATATATATATATATATATATATAGTTGTGTTCAGAATAATAGCAGTCAGACATCACTAACCTGATCAATCACTGTGTTTGGTAGAAATGATATTTCTACATGGCAAATAATTTACTAGCATGTGTAGTAGAGTAATAAGAAATCCAACAGACCCAACAGTCATGACATGCATGCTGCTGATTCTGTGTAATTGAATCGCTAATTGAAAGGAGCATGTTCAAAATAATATTAGTGTGGAGTTCTATTAGTGAGGTCATTCATTCTTTGAAAAACAGGTGACAATTATTGCCCTTAACCACTTGCCTACCGGGCACTTATACCCCCTTCTTTACCAGGCCAATTTTCAGCTTTCAGCGCTGTCGCACTTTGATTGACAATTGCATGGTCATGCAAGATTGTACCGATATGAAATTTTTATCATTTTTTTCTCACAAATAGAGCTTTCTTTTGGTGGTATTTAATCGCCGCTGAGCACTTTACTTTTTGCGCTATAAACAAAAAAATTGAAAACAATTTGAAAAAAAAAAAAAAGTTTCTTTGTTTCTATTATAAAAATTTTTCAAACAGGTAATTTTTCTCCTTCGCTGATGTACGTTGATGAGGCAGCACTGATGGGCACTGATAGGCGGCACTGATGGGCACTGATAGGCAGCACTGAAGGGCACTGATAGGCAGCACTCATAGGCAGCACTAATGAGGTGTCACGGATAGGCGGCACTGATAGGCAGCACTAATGAGGTGTCACGGATAGGCGGTACTGATAGGCAATGCTGATAGGCGGCACTGATAGGTGGCACTGATAGGCGACACTGATGATGGGTGCTGATAGCACTGATAATTGGCACTGACTGGCATCACTGCTGGGCACTGACTAGCAGCATTGCTGGGCACTGACTGGCACAACCTCTGGGCACTGACTGGTGGCACTGACTGGCAGCACTGCTGGGCTGCACTGATGGGCAGTGGTGGGTGGCACTGGTGGGCACAGGTGGGTGGCACTGGTGGGCACAGGTGGGTGGGCACAGGTAGGTGGTACTTCTGTGCACAGGTGTGTGACACTGCTGGGTGGCACAGGTGGGTGCACTGCTGGGCACAGGTGGTGTGGAGCTAGTGGGCGCACTGCTGGGCACAGGTGGGGGGAACTTGTGGGTGGCACTGCTGGGCACCAATCATCAGGGCACTGATCATCAGTGCCCTGATGATTGGTGCCGATCCCTGCTCTAACAACTGCCGGTTCTCAGCAGTACTTTCCTCACGATCTGACCGCGTGAGAAAAGTGCAGCCGAGAACCGGCAATTGCATTTCCCGGTGATCAGCGTGTCATTGAACACGGCTGATCACGTGGTAAAAGGCCGCTGTGATTGGCCTTTTACCACATCATGTGATCAGCTGTGTCCGTAGGACACAGCGATCACGGAGATTGCCGGGGGCGCTCAGAAGAGCGCGTTCCGGGAGGACGTCATATGACGCCCACCCAGAACTGGCCGGCCGCAGTGTAGCCGTCATTCAGCTATCTGTGGTCGGCAAGTAGTTAAGGAAGGAAGGTAGCAAATGTTGTACATGCTGGTTACAGTGCATTTCTCTCTGAAAATTCTGAGGAAAATGGGTCGTTCCAGACATTGTTCAGAACAGTGTACCTTGATTAAAAAGTTGATTGGAGAGGGGAAACATATAAAGGAGTGCAGAAAATGATAGGCTGCTCAGCTAAAATGATTGCAAATGCTTTAAAATGGCAACCAAATCCTGAAAGACGTGGAAGAAAGTGAAAAACTACCATTCGAATGGATAGAAGAATAGCCAAACTGGCAAGGACTCAGCCAACAATCAGCTCCAGGAAGATCAAAGAAGGTCTAAAGTTACCTGTGAGTACTGTTACAATTAGAAGACACCTATGTGAAGCCAAGCTATCTGCAAGAAGCCCCACTGTTGAAAAAAAGACATGTGCTGAAGAGGTTACAATTTGCCAAAGAGCACATTGACTGGCCTAAAGAGAAATGGCTCAACATTTTGTGGACTGATGAAAGTAAGATTGTTCTTTTTGGGTCTAGTGGCTGGAGAAAGTTTGTCAAATGACCCCCAAACACTGAATTCAAGCCACAGTACACTGTGAAGACAGTGAAGCATGGTTGCACAAGCATCATGATATGGGGATGTTTCTCATACTACGGTGTTGGGCCTATTTTTCGCATACCAGGGATCATGGATCAGTTTGAATACATCAGAATACTTAAAGAGGTCATGCTGCCTTATGCTGAAGAGGACCTTGAAATGGGTGTTCCAACAAGACAACGACCCCAAACACACCAGCAAATGTGCAACATCTTGGTTCCAGACCAACAAGATTGACGCTATGGAGTGGCCAGCCCAATCCCTGGATCTTCATCCAATAGAAAAACCTGTGGGGTGACATCAAAAATGCAGTTTCTGAGGCAAAACCAAGAAATAGAGAAGAACTGTGGAATGTAGTCCAATCATCCTGGGCTGGAATATCTGTTCACAGGTGCCAGAGGTTGGTTGACTCCATGCAACACAGATGTACAGCAGTTCTCAGAAACAGTGCTTATACAACTAAATATTAAGTGATTCAAAGGAAAGCAAAATCTTCAAACATTTTTCAGTTTATATAGTGAATGTTTGAGTTTGTAAAGAAGAATACAAACACTGCTATTTTTTTGAACAGTCTAATCACTTTTCTTCAAGTTTTTTAGAGGAACAACACAAATTTGATATATTTTTCTTCATATTTTGATTTGGAATAGAATGTGTAGTGTTCCCAATGCATTTGTGTGTATGGAAATAAAAGCTATTAGAAGGATTTTGAGCTTTATTCACTTTTTTCAACACACTGCTATTATTTTGAACACAACTGTATATACTGTATATAGTATCTCACAGAAGTGAGTACACTCCTAAGTGAAAATGTTCAAATTGGGCCCAAAGTGTCAATATTTTGTGTGGCCATCTTTATTTTCTAACACTACCTTAACCCTCTTGGGCATGGAGTTCACCAGGGCTTCACAGGTTGCCACTGGAGTCCTCTTCCACTCCTCCATGACAACATCTTGGAGCTGGTGGATGTTAGAGACCTTGCGCTCCTCCACCTTCTGTTTGAGGATGCCCCACAGATGCTCAATAGGGTTTAGGTCTGGAAACATGCTTGGCCAGTCCATTGCCTTTACCCTCAGCTTCTTTAGCAAGGCAGTGGTCATCTTGGAGGTGTGTTTGGGGTCATTATCATGTTGGAATACTGCCCTGCTGCCCAGTCCATGAAGGGAGAGAATTATGCTCTGCTTCAGTATGTCACAGAACATGTTGGCATTCATGGTTCCCTCAATGAACTGTAGCTCCCCGGTACCGGCAGCACTCATGCAGCCCCACACTATGACACTCCCACCACCATGCTTGACTGTAGGCAAGATACACTTGTCTTTGTTCTCCTCACCTGGCTGCCACCACACACGCTTGACACCATCTGAACCAAATAAGTTTATCTTGGTCTCATCAGATCACAGGACATGGTTCCAGTAATCCATGTCCTTAGTCTGCTTGTCTTCAGCAAACTGTTTGCAGGCTTTCTTGTGCATCATCTTTAGAAGAGGCTTCCTTCTGGGACAACAGCCATACAGACCAATTTGATGCAGTGTGCAGCATATGGTCTGAGCATTGACAGGCTGACCCCCCCACCCTTTCAACCTCTGCAGCAATGCTGGCAGCACTCACACGTCTATTTCCTAAAGACAACCTCTGGATATGATGCTGGGCACATGCACTCAACTTCTTTGGTCGACCATGTCGAGGCCTGTTCTGAGTGGAACCTGTCCTGTTAAACCACTGTATTGTCTTGGCCACCGTGCTGCAGCTCAGTTTCAGGGTCTTGGCAATCTTCTTATAGCCTAGGCCATCTTTTTGTAGATCAACAATTCTTTTTTTCAGATCCTCAGAGAGTTCTTTGCCATGAGGTGCCATGTTGAACTTCCAGTGACCAGTATGAGAAAGTGAGAGCAATAACACCAAATTTAACACACCTGCTCTCCATTCACATCTGAGACCTTGTAACACTAACGAGTCACATGACACCAGGGAGGGAAAATGGCTAAATGGCTAAATGCCAATTTGGACATTTTCACTTAGGGGTGTATTCACTTTTGTTGCCAGTGGTTTAGACATTAATGGCTGTGTGTTGAGTTATTTTGAGCGGGCAGCAAATTTATACTGTTATACAAGCTGTACACTCACTACTTTACATTGTAGCAATTTCTTCAGTGTTGTCACATGAAAAGAAATAATAAAATATTTACAAAAATGTGAGGGGTGTACTCACGTCTGTGAGATACTGTGTATGTATATAAATATATATATATATATATATATATATATATATATATTTGTAGAGATAGCGGGGATAATAAATGTAGAGTTGTGCCCAGTGGATATAAGTGTAAATATAATGATTAATACACATCGATAGTACTGCACCTAAAGAAAAGTGTGGAAGGCTGGCTTGCTTCTGGGTTGCTGCAATGATTGATGGTTGTCACAGCAACGGGGCAGGAACTTCAGCCAACACCGCCATTGCTATGGCAAACTTCAATATGAGGAATGCCATGCACCTTCTTCACACTGCATAGAAACAAGATCGGGAGGTGCTATCACGTACCTGGTGTTAGAGGCCAATGGAGAGAGGGCTTCTCTTGCAGCTAAGTTCCAGACTCCCCTGGTCATGGGACAGAAGGAGTCAGGCCCAAAGTAGCACGGGTCGCCTGTAGGAGTGCTTGTCAGAGGTACACCCAGAAGCACACTGATGCACTGGAACGGTGTCTGCAGACAGGTGGCACCCGTGAGAGGTACGCAGTAGCAGTAGCAGAGGACCACAGAGTAGTTGGTTCAAAGCTGAGGTCAGATGCCAGGTGGAGATTGGAGCAGATGTAGTCAATAGGATAGCCGGGGTCATACACAGGAGAGCTAGTGAGGATATCTATTAGCCAAGCCGAGGTCAGGTCAGGAGAGCAGATGAGAATATCCATTAGCCAAGCCAGGGTCAGATCAGGAGTCAGGCAGAGAAGACAGGTCCATGAACAAGCCAAATCGGTAACAGGAGATCACAGTAGTAAGGGAACACGGACAAAGGTACTGGGGAGCCAGAGATCAACCAACAAATTGAGGGAGTGATGGGCTTCCTTATAAAAGCCATCTAGCACCAAACTGAGCTAATGTGTGTGTAACTATGCGCCAGAGGGCATGCGTGTTCCAGCTCGTGTCTGTCCGCCAATGTGCATATATTTTCGCCAGCATGCATTTCTGAGGCCATGCAAGGTACTGGCAGGAATGCCAGGTCTCCGAGTACCTCTGCTGTGGACAGAAACCTGGCAGGTGGAGGCAGGGTAGCCAGCAGCACCATTTCCCAAAAGTATGTCCAGTATGGCTTCAGATGCCCACACTCAAGATGGAACCTTGCAGAATCAGAGGGTCCAGTAAGTAACTTTTTTTTTTAAAAAGGAACACAAACGATTACAGGTACAGTTTATGTCAAATTGCATGGCATAAGCTGTCACTATCCTGGGGGTGCTTTAAAAAAAAAAAAGAAAGATTGGAACTCTATTTTAAAGTGGAAGTATATACTAATATAATTTACTTGAAAATATTGCCTCCCCCCACACTTCTGCTGCATACCATTTGTAAATGAGAGCAGTGTAATTACGTTTTTTTTTATTTTTTATTTTTTTTTTATTTAAATATTTATTCATTTTCCATATAAAATGTTCAATCATTATTCTCATATAACATACAGAACCATCAATTATATCCCTTTCTATCGGTATTCTCCTTACCCCCCCTACCCTAATCTAAGACCCCCACCCACCCTGAAAACCTACCCCTCCCCCCCACAAAAAAAAAAAAGAAACCACCCACTCTGCATTTCTCCATTTCATCTTTTCCTAAGTAAAGGGTACTTTCACATATCTCATTCTACTGCTTCATGTATTTCACCTTGGGCACATATTCTTCCCATTTTCCCCACCTCCTATAATATAACCCCATCTTATCTTCTTGCATATAATACAATTTCTCCATTCTACATATCTGATTCACTCTTTCCAGCCAATCCTCTTCTCTTGGCGCCTCTGAACTATGCCAAAATTTAGGTATCAGACCCTTTGCTGCATTTAGATAACACCTTATATTCCTTATATTTGTTCACTGATAGTTCTGTAGAAGACACTACTCTGGATCCAGTTCTACCTTTATCCCAGAGATTGTCCCAATTAAGCGAACCATTGTTTCCCAAAATCCTTGAATCTTTGGGCATTCCCACCATAT